TGAGCTCTGGGGCAATCCCCACCGCTTCCCCTTCAACTCTCCTGGCTCCATACTTTATTATAGTGGGAAACTCTTTGACGGTTTGACCCCTGGGAACAAAGCAAATATCAATTGGGGCTTGATATTTGCTGACACCAGGAAACAGAGGAGCCCTATTTACCTACTGAGGAGCATGCTAGGCTAGCACACGTGTTTGTGTTTAACGAAAGTTTATGGCGCGTCCCAATAATTTATCATAATTTTTCTATAAAGAGCTATAATTTTTCCATCCTTTCAGACTACTCTTCCTGCAGGGTGAGTCAGGAGCAAACCTGTTTTTGCTGGCCAAGTACCCTTGGCTTCTAATGGTGGCATGGCTGATGACCGATTTTCTAACAGCAGACAAGAAAATGCTTTTACGTGTGGCTATAGCAAAACCAGGGACTTGGTTTGCCACTGAGTGCCGTGGACGTGGTGATAATTGTATCAGATGCCATGTGTTTTCTTTGGAAGACAGTCCATGGTCAATGTGCAAAAGTGGGAGGAGGGCACTGCTGTATTTCTTAAAAGATGAGGGGTTACAAACAGAGGATTCAAGGGGTCATGTTACACCCTATGCACTGCAGACAACCTGACTCTGGAGAATTTCTGGCATTTTCATTTACCTATTAGAATCAAAACTTCCCACATGATACAAAGTAGGGGTGGGTGACAAAGAAGACAAAAACTGTGTTTTACACTTCAAGTTAGCAGACTTCCTTCCTAGCAGGTTTTTTCAAGTAATAAATAAATTTTTGGTCCTCAAGAAATAAAATTAATATAAGATTACCTGATCAGTAGCAAATGCTCTCTTTATACAAAAATACCTATCTTTTGAAATAGTCTTTTTCAGACCACTCATTTTTATTACACACCAATATAAAATTCACACATCACAGTGTTTTCCAGAAAACATTTTCATAGGAAATGCTTTTGCTCCCTGCAGAGGCAGCGTCATCTTTGGTGCCATCTTGGTGGTAAGTGTGCTGAGATTTTCTCAGCAATCGGTTCTCTCCGGAAGTGGAAGCAGTGTTGTCTTTTCAAAAAATTCTCTTTTTCCTGGTTTCCATCCATCCTACCGTGCTGATCCCAGACTAGCACCTCCTCCCTGGCATCCGCAGACTCCTCAGGACCCCCAGTGCGCCCTGCTGCCCTCCCAGGGGCCCATCTGCTTCCACCCGGGAGCTGGTGCGGGTGGGGGAGTGTGCTTGCTTGCAGGAGAGGCCTCTTCTGAGAAAGCCAGTTGTAAGGTTGTTCCCAGGGTCCTCTTCGGTTCACGACACAGGGAAAACAAACCGCATTTTCTCTGTGCTCAACCGAGGCCTGGTGGTAAAAAGGAAAAAAAGTGAGCATCACTTCTCCAAGCACAATTTTACAGAAGCCGTAATTATAAGATAAGAGAAGCTGATCGCGCCTCGGGAAGTCTGGGGTGACAGCGAGCTCCCCCTGTAGAGCAAAGGCACCGCGGAAGACAGCCGGGCAGGTGCAGGTGAGAGGCCTCGCTGGGCGCGGAGAAGGTGGGTCAGGGGCACGGGGCGAGGCTGCACCCCGCCCTGCACCCTTTACCCTGCTCTGTTACCCGCGCCCCGCCATGCACCCCTCACCTGTGCTGCATCACCCGCACCCCATCGTCCGCACCTTGTCACCTGCTCGGCTTGGGATTAGAAAGGACCCTGCTCCAGGCCAGGCACCAGGAAGCTGGAGCAGGTCTTTCTGGGCTTCTCTTCTGTCTCGCTAGAAGGAAATGCATTTCCGAGGTCTCTGCATTTAGTTGCCCAGTAGCCGGGCGGACACGTCCCCTCCGAGCCGGAGCCTGGGAGCCCTTGCTGTGGCCTGGCCCGCGTGCCTGACCCGGGCAATCCGGAGCGCCAGGCTCTGAGGGCGCAGGCAGGCGCGGAGCGCAGCAGCAGGGGGCAGCATTGTCGCGGCGCCGACAGCACAGCGAGGCCGAGCCGGAGGGAGGGGACCGAGGCCCTTTGTGGGTTTATTGTCACCTCCTCCGGGTGCCATTGTCTGCTCGCGACCTGGTCTAGCGGCGAGCGTCAGCGCCTGGGAGCCGGCTCGCGTGGCCCGGGACACCGTCCCTGCAAGGAGGCCTGGGGACCCACAAACCCAAAGCAGACAGCGGGAGGGAGCAGGACAGCGAGGACAATGCACTGGCTGCAGCCAGCGCGGGCGGATGGGAGCGGGCGCAGGGGCTCAGGCCTGGTGGTGCTCTGCAGGCCGCTGCCCAGGCCCGGAGCTCAGCTGGAGCCTGGCGGACAGGACCCTGCGCCTCCTCCAGAGGCAGCGCTCTGTGCCTGCTTGTCCGCTGACCGTGGTGCTCTTCCACCCACAGAAGCCGCTGGGGAGCAGGCGGGGGTCTCACTGCCCTCAGGGAGAAGCACCGGCTCCAGGGGCAACTGAAGTGGCCGGTGTTCCAGGGACCTCAGGGGACAAGGGACGGAGAGCAGGGTCGTCCTCCTCCCACCCCAGGCCCGGAGCCCAAGGCAGAGAGGCTGCAGCAGGGACAAGAGGAAGAGAAGGAGGAGGAGGAGGAGGAGGGTGAGGCGGCCTCCAGGGGCAGCTGGCCCTCCTGCGGCCCCAGGCCGCTTCCCCTCCCCCGCGGCCTAATTAGGCCGGGGTCTCAAGGCACGGGGACACAAAGCGCCCCTCTACTCTCTCTTGCTGTCCTTGCTTTTGTGCTAATGCGCACGCGGCACACCTCCAGTCCTGGTTTAACCTCCTGTCTTGACAAGCAGCCCTGCACACGCCTGTCTCTCTGTCTCTCTGGCGCGCTGCACACGTGAGTCCCTGCCCTCATCAGTGAGCCGCGGAGTCAATTAGTCGTGATTGCATATATGCTTAACAGTTCACAGGGAGCCCCTTCTCCAGGGCGCGCTCAGCTGCCGGCTGGGCTCCAGGCCGGAGAGTGACACCGCCGAGGCGCGACGCGAGTTCTGTTTAAGATGATGCCAGGGTGCAGCGCCCGGATTCATTAAATTGGGCAGAGTTTCTCATTAAAGGTGCAGATTGACAGTCGGAACTAACTGTCATTGTGGCTCCCTTTCAGGCCCCCTACCCAATGATTGTTCTTTTTTTTTTTTTTTTTTTTTTTTTTTTGCACAGGTGGCAGTACATGGTGAATGAGATGGTGACACTGTGTCTGCTCTGCAGTTGGTAGATGCCAGCTTGCATAAAACAGCCACCCCTGTTCCTCTCCTGCCCCGGAGGAGGGGACTGTAGAAATGGTGGCACCCAGGCTGGGAGCTCATCCCTCGCCTTCCTAGAGTCGAAATAACAGCCACAGTGGACGGTGCTCTCTGAGATGGAGTTAGACATTAATTATGAAGGCAGTCGCAGCCAGGCTTTGCCGTTTGCTTCACACTTTTAATTCCTGCGTGTATTTCACTTTAACTACATCCAATAAATCCTTTGTGGAAAACTCCTCTTAATATCACTGTGGAAGAAGGGTCCAAAAATTAACATCTCTTCATGCTCAGAACAGTGAAAGACTCATTACAAAAATACCACATTTCCCCACAGATCTGAGGCCCCTGCGTGACACTCTTTTGCATCTTAACATAAAATATGTAATGCAGAACCTTCTGGTGTTAACAGATAGCACAGGAGTGCTCTGCCCTGGGCCGTTGCTAAGATGCTAGATAGTCATGCCTCAAGGAATGTAAAGAAAATATTTCTACCATAAATATGGGGTCCTGATCATCAATGAGCAGATATTCTGGAAGGCACTGTCAATATGAAATGTTGTCTGGGGGCAGAGATGCTTTTTCTGAATTTAAAAGAAAAAAGTCAGGTCTATGTGAGACTGGGTACATACATTTCCATATTCAGAAATGGATGCCAGTGTTGGAAAACGCTGTAAGAAACACTCCTTAAAAATAAAACCAATCTTCCAGAGAACCACCTGAAGGAGCCACTGGCTCATCGCTGCAGATCTCAGCTGAAGGAGAGAAGACTTCAGGAGCCCGCGCTCCGGGGATGCTGCCTCCTTCCGCGCTTCCTGGGGAGCCGCCGTGTTCAAAGGGGCTGGAGCTTTCTTCCCTTTGCACACCCCTGCTTTCCGCGAGGAGCACTTCAGTTGACAAAGCGCTGATTTTCAGCTCTCCACCGCTCCTCGGGCTGTCAAGAGCTGGCTTTTCTCTCTTAAGGTAGATCCTCTAAGGCCCCCGGAGCGACTGTGCATTTGAAAGCAGTTTGTCTGAAAAGCTCTTTCTCATTCTTCTTCTTTTTTTTTATTCTTTCACAGGGAGAATTTATTTCAGAGGGTTGCTTTGTACCCTTTGTGTATAAATATAGAGAGATAGAGATATAGAGAGAGGAGAGACAGAGACAGATCGAGCCAAGCCTGGCTGCTTCCTCTCGTCACCTGCGCTCTGATTTGCATGTCTTTCTGTTGTGCTCTTCCCTGGGGGCAGGTAGAGGTATTCTGAGGCTTTTTGTGTATCACCGACTAACCTTGTCAAGTGCTTTAAAAATAAATGATTAGAAATTGTTGAAAAAATATTCACCTTTGTCCTTGGATCTGAAAGTTTTACTTGAACATTCTTCCTGTGTTCGCTGCAGACCAGAGGAACATGTGCGATCTTAAATCAACAGTATCTCAGTGATCTTGACATTCGTAATTCTGCAAGTCAAGCCAAGATCAAAAACAATACCCTCCTTTAATTATGTAAAAAGTTTTGAATTCATATTGTATGAAGGAACCCAGAATATCTAAATGTTAGACAAGTGGACTTGGCAAAAAATAATTATTTAGGAGGATGTGACTAAACCCCTGAAAAATCCTCCAGCTTAGTTCAAAAGAACATGGAAAAATAAATTTGTCTAGAGAATTTCTCATGATTTTATGCCCATAATGGATTTTCTTTGGAATATAATTCATAAGGAAAAGCTAAGAAGGAAATTAAATATTTTTTTACAGAGCTTCATTTAATATTGTAGTTTTTATTTATGTGATTCAACAATATATGAGGTTAATGTATGTTGCTGGTGCTTTTAATTAGAAAAATAGATTGCTTACCAAATGACATCAAGAAATCTAGGTAGCTGTTTAAAAAATTAAATTCTTAGACTTCAAAGCATTTAAAATAGTTGAAACTGAACACAGTATATTGTTTGGCCACAATGAATTAAATAAAAAATCGATATCTGGTAAATGTATAATGCCCTGAAGTTTGTAAAATAATCAGAACACAGCAAAATAGACTGTGTATCAAAGAAGAAATCTCACGGGAAATTACAATATCTTTTTAAATGAATTACAATTTAAATCCACTATATAAATATGTATAGGATGTACATAATGCAGTGCATTGAGGGAAATGTGTAGTATTAAAGATTTAAATTAGATCTAAATTAAATAACAATAACGCAATCAAGGTCTTAGAAAAATAAGAATAAACCAAACCCTAGACCAGCAAGGGAGAGATCAGGGACAGACACATGAACTAGAAACTGAAAGAACAGTGTGAAGGGGCAGTGAAACAGAGCTGAAGCATCAAAGCTGACAAACCGAAGCCCTCGTACCTCTTACAGTACAGCCACGCATTCTGGGGAGCAGAACACGGACAGCTGAGCGCTGGAAGAAGACACCCAAGTAGAGGAACTCTGCAGCACAGCAAGACACGAAAACAGAAGGAAAGAAACCTGCAGAAGACTGACAGAAAACCGCCTCTCCTGGGAGACCGCACGACCATTCAATCATCCAGCCCCCAGAATACTGCTGGGGTGAGTGTGGTGCGAAGCGTCGTGGCTTTTCTCCCTTAGCGGTGTAAACTTAGAAAACTGATTATTCAAGGAAAATAATTTTTACTAACACTCAAACCTTGAAACAGTTCAGAACATTAAGTAGACTATTTAGACTATTTAAAATTGTTAAACTTTGGAGAAAACAATCAATAGGGATTAATGTTAAGTTACTCTCATATATTGGAAAACTTTATTTGTTGACGTCAAAGGTCAGTTCTAATATTTATTTGTACAGAGAAACAATAATTGAAAAGCTAAGATCCAAAAGTCTAAGACAAAACAACAAAATGGAAGAGAACTTTCTTGGCATCCCAATGGGAATTTTCAATAACTGCATACCGAAGGGCTTTCCTTCCTCTGCCAAGCGGAGAGACGTGCCCAGATATGCGCTCCTTCTGTGAGTGTGTATTTCTGAAAGGAAGAAAATTTGAAGTTATGTGTTCAATGGTCACATTTTGGCACCAGAAAAACGTGACCTATCAAATGAAAGCTATTCTGGCAGAATTATTTTGTTTTGCACACAAAAGCTAAGGATTTCCCCTTCCAGGTTCCGCAGGTGGAAATTATAAGGCGAAGAATTTCTATCAGTTAAGCAGTGTCTAAGGAAGCCAACTTCTGTGGTCAGTCATGAACCTGTGGAGCTAAGATTATAATACTGAGTCGGAAATGAGTGAGCACAGCTCCCTGCCTTTCCCAAGAAAGATGATGGGACAGACCAAGATTGCACCAGCAGGAAAACTATTATTTTGTGACCACTGACTCTTATAAATGGAATATTAAGAAAAGCATAAAGGTATTTAACACAATAGTGGTAATGTTGGGAAGATAGCATTATTGATTAATATTTGTGCCAGTGAAGAATAGAGAAGACCAAGACAACCTGATAGCCTAATCTTGCTTGGAGGAGGAGCTAATCGGCATTGCCTGAGTAATGAAGGGATCAAATGTGCTGCACCAGTGGTAAGGGCAAAGGGACGCAGTACAACAACCGTAAAACACAAGACATCAGAAATACTGGAAAACATATTCCTAGAAAATGCACATAGGAAATGAAAGACTTTCAAAAGTTCTGTGAACACAGAATATACCTAAAACAATGTTATAAAATTGTGTTCAAGTGTACTTCTTATTTAAGAAATGTAAGTAAGCACATTTTTGCCACAAAGTGAAACCCAAGCTCACTATCCTTAAAGAAATATGATTTTATAAAGACTGCAAAATCAAAAAGTAAGGGAATGTGGCAGGAAAGGAAGGAAAGGCCAGGGTGGCAAGCTTAGTGTCAGAGAAAACAATGACTCAGGTGAAAGCAGGAAAAAAGACACAAACAAATAAACAAATGCTCTGGAAAAAGGAATGAGCAAAAGGTAAGTAAGTAACAGTTAGGTGTATCCGTCGGTGAAACAGCGTAACAGCTACGCTAATGAGGTCCAAACTGCAAGACCTGACAACAGGAGAAGCAGCAGAAGCTGTGGCCTTCGTGTGCGCTCCTTTCTGTGGCAGGCTGCGTTTAGGCAAAGGCAGATGAAGTCCACGTGACGTATCTAACAGGGAAGGTCTGGGCTGCAGAGAACCAACGCCCTAGAGCGCATTGCATACCGTCTACACACAGCCCCACAGCGCTCACCCCCTTGCCCTCCTCGTAGGGCATACATAAAACATGAGCAGTGCTTTCTGTGTTTCCGTGTGGCATGTAACCTGGCCTTGGAGAGAGATGGGCACATTTTATCCATTGGAAATGGGCATCTGTTCCTAATTTATTAGTTTTTCTAAAATGGTGAGTGGTTGTTGAATGTTTCCAAATGCCTGTCAACATCCACAGAGATGAGCATAAAATTTTTTCTTTTAGATCTTTTAATGTTATGAACTAGACCAATACATTTTCTAAAAGTCAACTATCCTGCATCTGGAGGGAGCACCGGTGGCTGTGAAATGGTCACATCTTTTTATGTGCTCTTTGATTGCATGTGCGGATTTCCCTCTAGGACTGTGTACCAATGTGTGTGCTGTTGTGACACATCTGTGTCAGGCGTCGCCCTTGTCACTGCCATTCTCCCCCCTCAACACTGCTCAGTGGTAGCCCATGCAATTAGACAAGAGAAAACAAACAGAGAAACTTGCTGAAGGTGTGATAACCTGTCGCTGTGAGCTGACACAGCAGGGAGTTAGCTAACATGCAAAAAGGCTCCCGCTGGAGAGAATTTCACATTTAAAATAGCAAACCCCACATATGCCATCGCTACAAATAAATTCAGAATGAAACAAGAAGCGTCTACCTTAAGTACACTTTCAGCCTTCCTTGAAGAACACAAAGCCCCAACATGGGGGGAGACAATGCCCTTGTTTGTGAGACTAAAAACCCTGGAAAGGGAACAGAACTAAGAATATTTGTTCAATAAAAATTATAAACTTTGAGAAGAAGACTCAGAGGATATCTGAATTTGCATAAATTATTCTTCCTCTCTTTATATATATGTATAAAATTTTATATATTTATATGTTACATATTTTATATGTTATATATAAACTTACCTACAATTTAAGGTACAAATTTAATATGTCAATAAAATATGCCATCAGTGTTTGGGGAGGAATAAATTTACTTGGGAGATAAGATTCCAAGCTAGCATGAAAGATCAATAGAAAGTGAAGATCTTAAAACACATGAGAAATTTTTCATAAATAAAGTAGTATGATATAAACACATGGAAATATAGCCAAGAAAATAAACTGAATTGCATGAGTCTGGAGCATAACCGAATGATACTTAAAATGAGTGAAGTCAGTCTATAAGTAATGTCGGGCCCATGTATGGAAGTGCCAATGCTGGCTTCATTCTTCATACTGCGGAGCAGGAATATTCCTGTATTTCCTGTCAGTAAATTCCTGCATCATCCAGCAATCTTACTTTTGAATATGCAAAGATTAAAAGAACTGAAAGTAGGTGATTGGAGAAGCATCTGCCCCGTCCTGTTCACTGAGGCTCTGTCACAATAGCCAAGAGAAGGCGTAACCCTGGTGTCCACCACAGAGGAGGGCACACAGAGACTGGAGGGCACAGAGGCGGACAGTACTCACCTTTCTAAAGGATGGGAGTCTGGCCCTGTGTGTCTCGTGGTGAAAGTTGAGGACGTTACTCTAAGTGAAGCAGACCAGTCACGGAGGACAAAGTTAGCACGACTCAGCCTTAGAGAGCCTTAGAAGTATCTGAAACCGTGAAACAAAGAGACAGAAAGCCAGGAGTCTGCAGCGGCGGGAGGTTCGGAGCTCCAGTGCTGCGGCGGGAAGAAAGATGTGGAGGTCAGCTGCAGAGTAAGGTGGTGACAGCCAGGTCTGCTGGACCGTCCACTTCAAAACGGGCACCCCCTGCACACACATCTTCACATCTCAGTTCACGTCGTCTGTGTGGAATTTACATCCCTGTGCTCGTCAGAATCTGCAACTCTATCTGTGTTTACACAATAAATCTCACTAAGCACATTTCCTTACATATGCACCGAAGTTTGTATCTACCATACATCTATCTGTATTGACATATATAAGTATATCTGAGTGCATCTGCATCTATGTCTAAATAAATATCCATTTGATGCTGTATCTATGTATTTCCATATATGTCTGTATCTCTGTGTCTATTTAAATCTTTATGTACGTTTCATGCTACAAATACACAAACCCACAACCGTAGGTCTGTGTATTTATTCAAACTTCCTCTGTCCCCGTGTGTCTCCACGTAGACATCTCCTGTACATCTCTCGGTCTAACCTGATCACATCTATACCTCCAGCTGCTGTGTCTCCATCCCCACCCGTAGAGCTGGTTCTACTCACAGTGAGAGCAACGGGCCGTCTACATTGTCTGGGCCGAATCCTGAGGGCAGCAGAGGTGGAGGCATCTGTGATCCGCCACCATCCTCGCTCTGTGGGTTCCGTCAGACCCCAAGGTCTGGGCCCAGGAGAGCTGGCTGTGGAAGGATCCGTAGGAGAGCAGGCACAGTGCTGTGCAAGCCCAGCCCAGCCATTAGGCGGAAAATCAGAGGCCCAAATCCCTGTTCTCTGCTGGCAGCTCTGCCAGGCCCTGGGGAGATGAGATTCGCTGCGGGCCACCTGCTTCCCTGAGTGTGGAAACACAGACGCTGATCTTACACAGACGCAGCCTCCTGGGCACTGCTGAGGTCACGCTGACCCCTGGCATGCCTGGGCCCTCTCCGGCTGACACATGACTGTAACCAGGACAGAAAGTGCTCCTGTGACTCTGAAGAGGAAAAGCCACGGCCCCCCAGGCGGCTGCGGGAAGCGGTGTCCTCTGTAGTTGGAAAACGTCCATTACAGCATTGGACAGGGGCAGCGCTGAGCGGCTGGGGGTGGGAAGTCACTGGCACCAGTGGCAGAGCAGGAGCCAGGGGATGGTGGGAGATGGTCTCGAGGGTCTGGGACAACCAGGGTGACGTCACTAGTCCCGTGAGCCCTGCTGTTGGTGTCCCTGGGTCTAAGTGGAAGGAGATGATGTCAGTTCAGGAGGGAAAGGGGCGGTGACATCCAAGGCCAGTGCCCATGGCAGGAGAGCTCTTCCAGGGGACACAGCCAAGGACCATGCAGTGGGCAACGGGTGCCACCTGCAGCCCAAGCCCAGTGATTTGCCGGATGGGGAGAATCTGGCCACAGAAGAGGAAGATTTACAGAATGCAGGACGGATGGACCCTCGGCCTTCTGCAGGGGACCGTTTGAATGAGGAAGCAAAAACACAGCACAAAACTTTAGCATAAGTGACCTCACTGGGAATCAGTGTCCACCGTCTTTTCCAACGCAGGTGACCCACAGTGAGAGCAGTGGTGGGTGCAGGCTATCATTTCATACAACTGCGGAGAGGAGAAAACTCGTAGATTTCCTTGGCTCCTTCAGGTCTGCTGAACACACTTTCTCTTGTGAGGGAAATGCTAAGGCTCCCTTCTGTGCAGATGCACCACCACCTGCAGGAACGAGGCCACCTTCCTTCCAAGAGATGCACCAGAATCCTGAAAGTGACCCTCATGTTCCATACATGGCCCTTCGAATATTTATTTGTTTTGGGGGTTCTGGGTTTCAAAACAAAGACCTCCTCACTAAGTTACACCCTAGCCCTTTTCATGATGAGACAGTCTTGCTAAATCTACAATTTCCCAGGCTAGAATCGAACTTGTGATCCCTTTGACTCAGCCTCCCAGAGTGCTTGATTACAGGCATGTGGCACCCACACCTGGCTTTGGTGTACAAACTGCAAGCCACAGTAAATTCCGGATTTTATTGGGACTTATGTATCTCATTTTTTCAGTAGCATTTGCTCCATAATTACATTATATTTATTCTTTTTCAGAGTAATGAAAAAGTACACAGTGTATTAATGAATTAAGTAATGTTTATAAGATATTTATCTACAGAATGCCACAAGTTTCACCTACAAAGAACCTTTTTAGAACACAGTGGAGAGTAGCTCGGAGAAAACCTAATGCCGCCCCCTAATTTTAATGTATATACCTTGCGGAACCTGAGTATTTTGTGTCTGTTTTTAACATTTTAAGTTTTTCCCATTTTTGTTTCTTTTCAGAGACAAAAGGCGTTGATATTATCCCAGGAAGACATCCAACCAGTATGAGATGTTAGAAACACAAAGCTTATCTGCATATCAATTTTCGAAAGCACAGTATCAGCAACTCAAGATTATAAGCAATTTCCTCCTTTGCCTTCATTCCCTTGATAAGAACAGTGGCTGGGTTTTAAGAGACCCATAAAGTTCAATGAGTGCTTGCATAACATTCCATAAATTGAATTATCTTTGCATCAGTGGATAAAGCACAGATTAGCTTGGGGCAAACGTTGGAAAAGAATGAATCAAGTCCCCAGTGTCACATGCCACGTGCTCAGACCCTGGGGGCTGAGGCTGTCCCTCCCCAGCTCGAGTGCTATGTCACAGAACGTGAGGCACTGACCACAGCTTCCAGAAGACCGCGAAGATAATATCAGCGTGGGGCTCCCCATTCCGTCTCACCCTTCTCTTCCTGATCTGTGATAACGAACTTGTGTTTCTGCTCTGGTGACTGTGAGCAGCCGTCCAGGGAGGTGACAGATAGCCACCTTGACAGTGCTGGTGCCATTAATGCAGAAAATGGGCCGTGGCCAGGAGCTCCTTTCCCCGCCCTGGGTGGCTTTGGCGAAGCCTTGCAGGGCTGTGGCTCACCAGTGTCCACTGCAGGCCTTCCCTCCACACGGACCAGGGGCACGCACACTTCTGAAACTGAACACTAAATCCTTCTCATTCTCCTCCTCCGAGAAGGTCAGGGCCTGATGGTGCTTTGCCTAGTACTGCAGGTCTTTCCACCCAGAAAATGCACAAAGAGCAAGGAGACCCATGGCCACGCGAGCAAACCCCATCAGCAACACCATCAGGAGGTCCCAGGCCACGATGGAGGCGGGCTCGCCCCGTGACACTGAGTGTTTTGCACTTAGCAGGTACCTTAGATTCTGAGCCTTTAGGGACTGCACCTCCCATTCTGAAGGCTTTTAGAACCTCTGCTCCATCTTTGTCAAGGGGGTGACAGAAACAATTCACTTGGTTAGAACCAACTTTCACTTAGAAAACCTTGAGCCTGGCATTAACATTTCACCGATAATACTCTTTTCATAAATCTCTGTTCCTATTAAATTATTCATACAGTGTGCTATGAGAGCATATGACAGTTTTTTTAAAAAAATGTATTCTTCACGGCCTCTTGCAATCAGCCTCAATGCCACTCCGTGGGTTATTTTTCTGGATCTTGCCATCTGAATGTTCTGAATAAATTTCATTTTATTCAATAAGTTTCACTGTTGTTTCGAAGCATTTCTTTTCTGATTTCTACAGCCTCACTTCTATTGTATTACCCCTCTATTTTATTTTTTCCTTTCTTCTTGATTTCCCTTTATATCTGCTCTGAGCTTCACTTTACCATTTTTGCAATCTATCATTTCAGCTTGGAAAAAAGATACTTCCTATTATCTGATCTTCTCTAGATGTACTTAACTTTGTGACACTCGTATTTCTCCGAGTGACCTTTCTGATATAATTCTTTGGTGCTACATCTTGAAAGTGCCTTCTGACAGATTTAGCGGGTGCCCTTTTAATTCCCACACTGGAACTATCCTGGCTGTCTCTAATATGCTTTCAGTCAGCCACGAACTGTCTGTGCTTCTTAAATCAGAGGCAGAGCAAGGGTGACTCTTGAATGTACCACCCCAGAGCTACCACACACAGCTTTCTCTTTGGAACTGTCAGATGACTTTTTCACCGTTATTTGCCTAAAGAAATCTGAAGTCTGTGTAAGAGAAACATGTGGACACTCTCAGGTCACCTCTCTGGGCGGGAGCTGATGTATACCCAGAACCACTCTTTGTGTCACCTCCAGGATGCATCTTGGTCCCAGGGCCCCTTCTTCTGTGGGCTTGGTCACTGTCATGGTTTATGTCTGTGGCCCCCAGGCCTCATGCATTTGCATTGTACATTCATGATGATTCATTGTCTAGCGCTTGGATTGATGGTGTCACTGCTACCCCTACATAGGGGTGGAGCCAGGATATGGTGTAATGGCAGGAAGAAGGTGTGTCTTGCTCTTTTGCTGGTTTTCGAGTTGCTGTTTGCAGTCAGTGTGAGCTGCAGCCCAGCCATCCCTGCCTGCCTTGGAGCCAACTGAATATGGACTGAAACCTCCAAAACCTGTAAGAAATAAACCCTTCCTTTCCCAACTTTGGGCTTCAGGTATTTTGTCTTAGCGACAAGTAAAAAGTAACCAAGACAGGCACTTCATCTCCTGTAGTGCATTGGTTTATGGTGGTCAACTTAAACGCCAGCTGAACTAAGCATGGTGCTGAGTGAGGATGCCCACCTGAAGACTGCTGCCTGCATAAAAGGAGACTCAGAGAGGAAGAGAAAGGCACTGTGGGTTCTCTAAAGTGCTATTGTTTGGAGCCATTGGTTCTCCTGGAAGAGCTTGCCATGCTGGCTTCCCTGATATGAACTCAGCTGTTATCATCAGAGGAGCTCGAGACCTCGTCACTGAGAGTAGCTGTGGTTCACTTTGGGGGAGCTCTGATCTTACTTTGAGCATTGCTTCCTGGCTCTGCTGCTTAATCTCCAGGAGAAGCTTCTCACATTGGCTTCCTGACATAAACTTGGCTGTTCTCATTGTCAGAGGAGTTTAGGGCCTCACTGTTGCTGAGGACGGCTGTGGTACTTTTCAGGGGAGTCCTGGTTATTACTTTGAGCACCACTTCCTGGCTCCAGCACAGCTCCTTCACCCCACTGGCATAGACTTTCTGGCTTCCATTGCTGACCTTTGGGCCTTCCCAGCACAGCTCCATGAAACAGACTTGCACGAATCATTGTCATGGGCTCTGAGCCTCCAGTTGAACTTATGGAAGACAATGTCATGGGCTCTAGGTCTTCAGCAGGACTCATGCAGGACATTGCTGTGGGATCCAGGCCCTCAGTTGGATTTCCTTGGCTCTTTAGTGTTGTGGACAGGTTTCCTGCACATCTTAGTGACCATCGTAAAATGGTGTTATAAACTCTGTTCCTGTATGTAATTGTTCTCCTTGTAACCCTGACTACAACATCTCCTCCCTCCACAAGGCAGGCATGAGGGGTCTTCTGTCTGTGCTGGACCATGGCAACATCCTCATGAGGCCGCCCTGGGGTACAGGCCCCTTTCACCGTGCGACGGCGCTGCCCTGCCATGCAGCTCTTGTGTAGGGCCAGAGCAGGTCTGCCCTCCCTCAAAGGAAGAGAATGAGTCACTGAGTCTAACACCAAACCCAGGGAATGGAGGGAAGAAACCAAGAGCTGCCGGCTCCATTTCCAGATGAACCTTGGACTCAGTGTCTCCTCTTTTGCATAATCTAGGCCATGGTATTCACTGTTTCAAGAAATTATGATAGATTATTTAATTAGCCAGTCATAGTAACAACCCTAGTAATCTAAAAATGGATGTTCCGTGTGCTCTGTACCTCTTCCCAGGTACACACCCCAAGCAGGACGGACAGGGCACCTGCCGCACAGCCACCACATGGCTGGTCCAGAAAAGCATACTGCCAGGCCTCATGGACCCCCACAAGCGTGGCAGCGGGACAGGAGACCCCCACTTCTCAGTCTTCAGCTCTGAGGAAGACACAGGGCCAGCACCGAGGGGTCACTGGGCCTGGGCTTCTCACTCTGGGTTCCCAGCTCTCCAAGCCCTCCATACTCCTCGGCCTGTGGCCTCTTCCTCCATCTCTATAGCTGGCCAGTGGCTGGCTGAGATATCTCACACGGTGTGGCTCGTCCTCCCTTCTGCTTTCTACTCCTGCCTG